GTGCTGGGTCACATTCCTTGGCTTTTAAATCCTTCCAATTCAGTTTTGACCATTTTTTGCGTGGGTCCTCCCCAGAGCCGTGGGACCTGGAGGTCTGGCATCCCAGCCTGCCCCAGCCAGGGCCAAGCCGGTACCGGGAGTTACCGGCAGGCACGAACCTGGCCAAAAGGCGAGGCAGGAGGAAAGCGCGGCCGGAGCTTGCTGCTCCCTGCCCCTGCGCAGGCGGCTCCAGGGGCAGGCGCAGATGCATTTCCCACGGCAAGATGCATTTCCCACACTAGATGCACTTCCCAGGGCAGATGCATTTCCGACAGGAGATTTATTTCCCACGGCAGCTGTGCTTCCCCTCTCTCCCAGGGGTGCTGAGGGCTCGGCGGGATGCGGCGGAGGGGGGAGCTGGTACCTGGAGAGGGGCCTGGCTCAGGGGGAAAGCCAGCTGAGCGGGCCAAGGATGCCCACCGCGTCCCCTTCCTGGGCGGCCCTGCCACGGCAGGGGAGGGGGCTTCTTGCTGATTCCGGGAGGGACAGGATCTGGGAGCAATTCCCCAGGGAGAATTAGCGGCGCTGGGAGCAGAGGCCCAGGCTGCCTGGGACATCACTTCCCACCCCCTCCCGCTTTTCCCCGGATGCTGCGGCAGAGCCCGTGCCAGGAGCCCGGGGCCATCTGGAAACGCTCACGGACAGCAGGAGGGACCCCGACAGAGACAAAGGCATTTCAGCAGGGCCTGGGCCCTTCGCTGGAGGCTCCTGCTCTGCCCTGCATGCCCGCAGCGGGGGTGGTTTGCCTCCGGCCACCCAGGGACGCAAGACCCCGGGAGAGGACAGAGGTGCACTTGCTGCAAGGGACAGGGCTTTTGGTGGCTCAGAGGAGCGCGAGTCCTGCTGAGCCCGGCCCTGGCAGGCACCAGGCAGCCCCGCCAGGATTCCACCAGGCAGCCATGCCAGGATCCACCCCTACCAGGCAGCTCCCAGCTTCCCAAAAATAGGCTGGAGAAGGCCGACCTGGAAAAGACCCCAGGAGCTCAGCGTCCTCCAGGCCCTGCTGTGCCGGGGCAGTGCTGGCCGCTGCGGGATGGGGCTCCACGCGCTGCTGGAGTGTGGGTGATGGGGGTGACCAGGGCTGGCAGCGGCTCTCTGCCCACTTAGAACCATCACATGAGAAACTGCGCTTCCTCCTGCCACCTCCTCTGCAAGCCAGGGCACGATCCCCCCTGCGCTGCTGAGGAGACGACCCGGAAAGCAGAGAGGAAGCTGGGCTCGGCGCAGAGGAAGAACCGGGGCCAGGATACGCCAAGCAGCGACCGGCCAGCCTCAAGGCCGGAGGAAACGACGCTGCGGATGGAGGGAAGAGCCACGGGGCCCTGGGAGAGGTTGGACCTGCTGCCTGTGCACACTGCAGGCAGGGCTGAGGCTCCGGGTGCTGCCTGGGCAGGGGTCCCTCCCAGCACAGCCACACTGAGCTCGGCACACACGTGTGCTGCTCATGCCTGTCACCTCCCCTTGCACCCACCAAGCCCTGCTCCGCGTGGTGCTGGACCCTTCGTCCGGAAAGTCATCTCTGGGGCTGCAGGGATGGTGGAGCCGATGGTCTGCAGGTCTACTTCAGCACGACTTGGCATCCATCATCTTCTCACCTCTAGCGGCTCCAAGGCTTTCCCCATCACATGGCAGGGTCACTCTCAGGGCGCACAGCCACTCCCTCATCCAAATAAAATCTTGGTTGGGTGGTCCCATTTTGCAGCCTGCCGGGGGAAGCTCTCACCCCTCTCCTGCAGGCGCCAGCGGGGCAGGAAGATCAGTCCTCCCTCCGTGCAGAAGTGGCTAAAGTCCCCAGTACGGTCTCTCATTTTTCCTGGGCAGTGGCCAATGGCAAAACTCAAAATAAATATTTCCCTCGCCTCCAGCAGCGCCCGCCCCAGGCTAGGCAGCAGCTGCAGAGGATTAGCGTCGCCCTGGAGGTGTAATCCCTCTACAAAGTCGACAACATTTGGCCCAAGACATCCAGGGAGATGCAGAACAGGAGACAGAGAGGGCAAGGAGCAGAGCTGGGCCCAGATTTTTTTGATTCCTGCATATCACCTGCATGATCAGAGCTCTGTGTCAGGATCCACTTAATAGGAAGGAGACGAAGAGTAAGGGGAAGGCATGGACAGAAGCCCGTACAAGGGCCCTGCCGCTCCGCTGGGCCAGACTCTCACCCGGGCTGCTTCTGCCCCAGCTGCAGAGCCAGCAGACAGAAAGCTTTCCAGGAAAACCCCGTCATCTGCTTCCCCTGCCAGCTGCTGCCACCTGCCCGGGCAGACCCACCGGCACGAGGGTGTCCCGGCTTGGCTCGCACCGCACAGCGACGGCCAGCTGCTCCAGCTCTGTCCCAGCGGGTCTTGCTCCCGGCCCAACCTGGGGAGGGTCGCTCTCCCGTCCCTTGCTCCGAGGTGCTGCAGCCCGTGCACTCGCCGTCCTTCAGCGGACAAGATTTCAAAGGGAAGCTTTGCCTTTGATCTAGAAAGCAGGCTCACAGCACTTCAGCCCCGATCAAAGCGCCCAAGCGCAGGACCGTGCCCCAGCCAATGGAAGAGGAAGGTGGAAAGCCGGCAGAGGCAAGGAAAACTCATCTTTGGGTGGGCCCCGCTCCACCTCGGGTTGAGTCCAAGGCTCCCCGCGAAGAAAGATTCCTTTCTCTCCCGCTGGACACAAACTGCAATAAGGACTTACACAGGAAGGAAGGAGCAGGCCACCCACAGAAAGGTGAATCAGAATTTAAGACCTTTTCTCCGCAGGCTGCCTGCGCTGCACCAGGACCACCCCTCTGCTCACCCCTCGCACCAAACTGGGGCTGCCCCGGGAGCATGCAGGCGGTAGCTGTCCTCAGGGCAGACTCCCATCTCTGCACCCACGTCCTCCTTGCCTTCCTCCACTCTTTCCATGTAGGAGAACACTGTGTCCCAGCAGGTCAAGAGCCATAACCAAAGTGGTAAGAAGCTGGGCACTTCATCGCAGTTTTGCTGGCACACATTTACTCTAGGAAACGACTGCTGACAGGATGGCCGTGACATTTTGGCTTATCCGCCAGCAGCACCCTCTCCTCCCGCAGGGACAGCATCCAAACTTCACTCACCTTCAGCGAGACGGTTGAAGTTTTGAATTTTTGTGGGGAATTAGAAGAGGAAGATTTTTGAAGAACACCACGTAAATCCACCACCATCTGTCCCTAAAGAAAAGAGCCAGCACCTGATGATGTTTCATTTTGTGCAGCATGTAAATAGGAAGATTCAGTATTTTGTTTTGTATTAAAAAATACACACAGGGTCCACATGGGTGTAAGAGTTTGTGGTTGGGAGTTTATTCCAGCAAATCCGCTGGCAAAGCTTATAGAGGTCGGGCAGGAATTGGCAGCAGGGCCCATCTAATCTCTCTGCGAGGCAGCCAGCTCGGGGCCCTGGGGAGCCCAGCCCCTCTTAACATATTACAGTCACTCACCGAGAGCAAGCCCGACTCCTCGAGGGGAAGGGGCGACTCCGGCCCAGGCCCCAGCAGGGCAGGGAAAGGCAGCAGCAGCTCCTGGTGAGTGCTCGGTCACCAACGACTGCCAAAAACACACGCTCGTGAGCGAGGGCTTGGGGGAAAGGATGCACGCTTTACCCTGACCGGGTCTAATGGATTCCCTCAGCAGCTCCCCCAGCCCTGGCATGCTTTGCAAACATGGCAGGAAAGCCTCACCATGGACTTCATTAAGGCCGGTCCTTGGCACATGACACAGCGCGATTCCACTTAACAAATCTCAACTCCAGCCAAGCCTTGACAGATGTCAAAGCAAGATGGATGGTGCCTTCCCATGTGGGCGTCCTTGGCTTGGCTCCTTAGAGCTACCAAGCTATTCAGCTGCTTTAAAAATTGGAAGGGTCTTCTCCAGAAAGCCTTCCGCAAGTGCAATCCAGCACCACATGGCAGCACGGGGTCCGCACCTCCAGTTCAAAGCCTGTTAGCTTTAAAGGTGCAAATAAGGCAGTTGCATTATAGATGTTCAGAGAACTGACCACAGAAGTAAAGTAGGGTCCATACAGAGGTGCACAGACATGCCAAACCTTTAAACCAGGTGGAGAGGCAGCAGTCAGGACTAAACCCCAAATCTAGGGCAGATGTCCCCCAACAGGCTCTCCGCCTCCTGGGAGAGACCAGCTTTGTTTAAATTAAATTAAATTAAATTTTTAATTTAATTGTCTTGCCAGTTCACTGCACAGCCCACCACCAGGGAAGGATCAGGGGACACCTTAGGTACCTACCCACCTGAGTAGCTGTGGGGGGATTGGCCCTAGGGAGGAAAGGCATCAGCTACTCCCAGTAACTCTCTCCGTTACTGGCCAAGGTCTGCGGCCTCCCCTCCGCAAGCCTTTCCACAACAAAGGCAGATTGGTTTGAGGCAGGGAAGGGCAGCTTCAGCACAGGAAAAGACTTCCGCTCCTGTTACGTCGCTTTGCTAAGCCTCTCCTTTGATCCCTGGGGAAAGAGACAATTTGGCAGCTAGAAGACTATTGTGTGCCTCTTGCTGTAAGTATCTGCTAAAGGCTTGGTTGAGAGCTGGAGTGAGTTATTTAACTACACAGCAAAACAGAGCTGTGCCCTAACGGGCAGGTAAAACCAATCTGTCACTGCTGGGAAAATGGCTTCAAGTAAGAAAGGAATGAAAAAAAACATTTCCATGTACTAAGAGTGAACAGCGTGAGTTTTTGTCATAGGTAGAGTATGACAAACCCCATAGACTGGCGACAGATCCTGTCTCCTCTATGGAACCCTTACTATTCTTTTCCTCTCTCCAGATTGCTGTTGTTCAAGTCTGTGCTATCCCTTACAAAGTGAGGCTGCCAATCAAAGTCAAATTCAGAGGCAAATCCTCTGGGTTTGCAAAACATCAGGGTTCCTAAAGAATTCCTCAGCACTTCTGAAGCGCTAACATGTCCACGTTAAAGGATCCATCAAAGGAGGAAGAAGCCAGGAGCAGACTTACAGTCTCAAATGTTTAATGACTTTCCAAGAGTGAGTATCACATCCATATTTAGAGCATATATAAAATAAGAGATGGAAAACAAGGAAAGAAAAAAAATAGAATTGGTATCTTCAAGAGGGCACACTTAACCCCATAATTCCTCCTGAATCCCCTCTTCACAGGCACAGTGGCCACTTTGAGCAACGCCTCAGTGCAACACAAGATCAGGTACCAGGCCACTTGCAGTGTTTAGGCTCAGCACTTCAGGAATAGCTAGGAAAACTCTGATTCAGTACAACTCGCACAACAACATAGTCCCAGACCTGTTACATGGTTAATTGTGTCCTGTCCAGAAGAGGGATACCAGTTGAATCAAAGTTACCCTAGGCAAGGTGAGCTGATCTAAAACTTGGTCTCAGCAGGGCCTTCTCTTCCGCCTGCTTTTGTTTTCCTTTTTTCTGCTGACCCCAAACATTTCTTGCATCTCTTCCCAACGTGGTGTTATTGCTGGACAGAGAAGGGAGAAGAAAGGAGACACTTCTTAAGACTTGGCAGCATCAAAACAACTGTACGACGAGTGGTCCAAGCATTCCCCAGACACCAGACACCTCTGGGAGGCTGCTACAGCCCAGAAGGCAGTGACAGGTTCCCCAGAGGTGTTACCTTCTGTTAACACTGCCTTCTACCTCCCACTAAGATCAGCACTCGACATCCTCCCTCAGCTCCTTGAAATTTTGCCCAGGAAACGTCTCTGCTAAAAGAAGCATCCACACTGGGACAGGCTGGCACTGGAAAAGAAGGTGCTTCCTCACAAGCCTGAAGACTGCTGCCAATATGCCAGGGACTCCTGTCCCATCACTGTAAGAGCAGAGCTTGGCATCTCCTGTTAGGCAGCCACAACCTTGCCTATCCCCTTCCCACCTCATAGCACCACTGTCTGCACTGGGCAGGGAGGAGATCAGACGGGAGTAAATTTGGGCTAGAGGGGCACAAATGGCATCCCTCCTGGAAGACAAGTGTGGAGCTGCAGCCAGCTCTGAAGAGCAAAGCTGCTGTGCTGAGTCATGGGTGAAAGCTCCGCAGAGGTGCCGGGAGGCTGCCACCCTGCCCAGGGTCCTTCACCATGAACAGGAAGGACGTGGGTAGCAGCTGCACAGCTCACCCTGCTCCTAGATGGGAATGACAACTCCTATCTGTTTTGGCAAGCAAGCCTCAGCAAGGCAGCCCTGACAGACGGCTCACCCTGGCAACGGTGAGGGTGCTCCCTGGCTGACAGCCAAAGCTGGTAAGAGCTCTGCTGCTAGAAGAAACTCTGCAGTGTGAAGGCAGCGGGAGGAGGAAGAGGAATGCTAGCCTGGCCCAGCTGCTGCTCCCACCCTCCTTGCCCACGACAAGCTCACCTTGGCCTTGTTCTGTACAGGCAGATACAGCTTGAACTCAGCTGGGAGCTCATCCTCTGAATAGAGCCGGTCAGAGAAGTACACCCGTCGGATGCGACAGTTGGCATGGATCTGAGAGTCAAAACAAAGAGTCAGTCCATTTTCCATATGCTCCTCTTCCGCATCCAGCTTCGCTGTCATGCAGCAGCCTGGATTCCTTGGCTCAGCAGCTGGAGAAGAGGCCTCACTGCCTCTCTCTGAATCTGACAGGACATCAGAGAAGAAACGTTGGCCCATGCCTCTGCTATGCGTTACAGGCTTGCTCCAGTGATGCGGGCTGGCTCAAGAGATTTGGCCAAGCTCTCGCACCTCTGCAAACTGAGATTTGCCTTAGTTGCTCAGACGGTTCTTTGCTGTGAACCCACCTCTGCTTCTCCACTGGCGTCAGGATTTGCCAGAACACTCTCAGCCTCAGCTTGCCGCATTTTTAACACTGCCTGCTCATCTCAGGGCAATCCCACAAGGAACTGCAGCAGTCCCATCACACTGAGGAAGAGGCATGCTCCACACATAGGGACTCCTCAAAATAACACATGCCACCGGGACACAGCGAACATGAATCCCTAGCATATGGAACAAGATTCACAAACCTAAGCAGTAACATGGGCTTGGTGAAGGCAGGGTCACTCCACCCGCACTAGGAAACAAGCTTGACCAAGGATATGTACGGGCCATAACACCCTGGGTCTTTACCAGCCAGGCTCCCACCCATCCGGTCACTGTCTGGCATATCTGGACAGTAAGGCAGTGCACGGCTAATTCCCAGCAGAACCTCCAACCAGCAAGATGCATGGCATACCGTAGGGAACTTTAGGTGGACTGCAACTCTTACTCTAACCAAGAGCCATCAAGAGAAAAAAAGATGGAAACGAGCTCCTTCATCCCAGTCTAGTCCAGTGAAGTGAGGCAGCACCAAGACCTGTGCTGCCTCAGTCAGGCCTTTGCTAGTCCTGCTCTTTGCAGAGCACTGCAGGAGGGGAGCAAAGAAACCAGTCAGGGCTAAACCTGGATTTCCAGTCCACAGCAAGGCTGTCCCAGCCAGCCGGGAGATTACCAACCATTGGCTTCTGTGGGCAGAACATGCCCGCTTCTCACCTGAACTCTCAGGGTCTCGATGTAATTTGTCCCATAAGCCCGGCGCGTGAAGTCCGACAGGTTGAACTGGATTTGGTTCCAGCCATCGTCCAGCCGCATGGGCATGGTGCAGATGAAGGGCTTCACCCGAGTTGTGCTCTGGTAGTTACTTGCCCGGAAACGCCGGCGTACGTTCTTATCATCCAGCACCTGGGGCAAGGAAGGCAGGCTGCTGAGGCAGGTGTCAGGGGCCCCAAGCTCTCCAAGACAGCAGCCATTCTAGACTCTGGCTCTACCCATGTCCAAGAGAGGGCTCTTCTACTCCCGCACCTCCGTTTCACAGCAGAAGAATTTTTAACACAGGAAACAGACACATTTTCGTTTTGTGAGCTGACTTGATGCCCTCATAGCAGAAGATCTGACACATCATATGGCCAAGAAAGCAAAACTGTTTTGGGGACCACTTGCTGCCTGGGACAAGTTCCAACATAAGAGTGCATGCTCCCTGGCACCTTCCTCACTGGTCCCCGGAGGGGCCTCACCGCTACACGCTCCTCACCTGCACTTCAAAAGTGAAGTATTTCTTCAGGTTCTTGATGATCATCACTAGGAAAGGTAGTTTGATGCCCAGGGTCTTCTTTGGGTCAGCAGGGCACGTGATGTACGTTGTACTGAGAGGGACAGAAAAACGCTTTAGGATCTCACATGGCACAAAGCTCACAGCCTGACTCCCGAGTCTTTCCCTTAACCTAAAGCAGTCTTGGAGGACAGGCAGAAAAGACAGCTGTGATCGTAAGGGCTCAGCAAACAACCAAGACTTCCTATAACAGGAGCAGGTAGCTGCAGGGAGAACAAGATAGAAGGCCCAAAGACTGCATTTCAAATCCCATTTTTCTCAGCCAGGGCATGAAACACCTTCCTGGACAGCTTCACCTCCCCAGTTTCAAGGCCACGTCAGTGCTGTTTCTTAACAGCACAACCTCCTCCTACCCTTGACTGAACAGGTAGAGCCCTCCAGAGCACAGCAGAGGCCTTGTGTGCTCTATATGGCTGGGAAAACAGAGGTCACGAGCCCTAGAAGTACACGTCACGCCTGGCAAGTTCTGTATCAACACATCTTGGGAGGAAGAGAAGCGCTGGCTCAGCCCGTCTGCAGGAGAGGAGTCTCCGCTGCCCTTATAAGGAGCGCCCTGCTCCGAATCACCCCTGGAGAAGCCTTGGAGACTCCGAACCCGCTCACGGAGCTGGCGTCTCTCTCCCCAGTCGATGGAGACGAGGTTGCTAAGCGAAGCACCAAAAGCAATTTCCCTCATAAATCTCCCTTTGATCTTCCTGCTGTTGGGAGAGCGGCTGTCACGTGGGGAGAGCAGCAGAGCAGGCCTAAGACAATGAAAGATGCAGAAGACAGAGTGCTGCTTTCTCAGTAACTGGCAGCACCGACTGGGGACTGGGCAGCAAACACAGCTTTTTTCCCCCCAGGTGATGGAAAAATAATGGGGCTATATCTTTATTTTTTATCCCTTAGCCCCGCTGAGAATGACAGAGAGCTATACAAGCACATCCAGGCAAAAGCACGGTACAGTGCCACAGAGGGGTATCACTGATCTGACCCCCAGATCATATTCCTCAATTTATTGACAAAGAGATTGCAGTACAGTCTGAAGGAGATGTCTGCTGGGCGCTGACATCTTTCACTCTGCATCAGAGCCAAGCCCCTAGGGCACACTATGGCAGAATAAGATGCCTTCTCCTACCTGACATTAGTTCCTTCGATCTCCAGCACCAATGACTGAATGTCATTGTCGGTGATTCGCTTGATGTGGCCGTTGCGCACCTGCAAGAAAAGCGGGGCAGACAGCACAGACCTTACTTGAGAGGGAAACAAGAGGCACCCACAGCTCCACTGAGAGGGGGAAAAAGATCCCAGAAGGACCCATCTACGTTCACTTGGCTCCTATTGTCCTGGACATCGCCGTTTACAAGGCTTTGATCACCGGCCCAGGGTGCCAGCACTCCAAGCGAGAGTTTATGGCCCAGCCATGCTACCTGGACACCGAGCGCAAGACTTCAATCTATCAAAACATGCTACAGTGAGCACAAGTGACTCAAGCCTCATGTTAGAGGCCCAAATAAACAAACATAAAAGTGTCAGAGCAAGATCAAACTAGAGTGGGATAAGGGGTAAAAACTAGTAGGAACTATACAGGGGCAAGCAAAGGGAGCCACCAGCCAGCCACCAGTCACCAAAGGGTCTTAGTCTCTACTGCTGGGCATGGCTGACTGCCTCTGTGGAACAGCAGGACCAGATGAGAGCTTGGTTAAAATTCTTCATAATTACAGCACATGCAAGCGCAGAGCCATCGCCTGCTCTGCTGAGGGGCACAGGGATTTGGCTACTCACATGCAGCCAGCTCCCCACAGAGCTCAGGGAGGCCAGGGCTGGAACCAAGAGCCAACACAAATTCATTTTTCCTCCACAAGCAACATGGATGAATCCCAGGGTCTAAGGATTTATTTTTTTAATGAAGCAGCTCACTTCCCATCAAATTTATCTCCATTTAAAAGGCACTTTTGCTAATTAAGCCCTCTGCTCTTCCCCAATGCTAGATCAGCAAATTGCAAGGCTCCTTCCGGCTCAATGAATTAATTTCTTTAGCACCTATGACAACTGCTAATATATGATACATTAAGCTTCTAATGGGATGGTTCCAGTCATGAGCTACAAAATGATTTACAGGTTTAGCAATTCATCTTCCGAGTTCATTTCTTCCAAGGGACCTACCTGGGTGATGTTGCATACATTTGCTGGAAGAAAAGAAGAAAAGAGACAAGACCACCCCCCCGGCCTGTCTCTGCACTAAACAGGTTCAAGAAACCTCAGCCTGGATCAACCAGCTGCTGCTGCTAAGTGCCACAGTGCAGCTTGCCCTGCCAGGCTGCTCTTAACCCTGCTTCAAGCCTGCACAGATACTTCCAGAAAACATTAAGCTCAGAGACAGGATCCTTAAAGGATAACCATATCTCTCCTCTGCATCAAATGCGACTCCCATGGATTTATAGGTCTGTTCAGGGAAACCAAGTGCACAAGGTCTGGATGACTTTCCCTCCCCCTCCTCTTTTTTTTTTTTAAATGACAAGCTCAGCAGAAGCCCCATGTGCCTCTCCGTATTTGAAGCAGCGATTGGCATATGGGAAATTAAATCCTGGAACCCACAGGGAAACAGTACGTGGACTTAACACCAGGAAATAACCCTGCCTAAGCAGGTGACAGTAGTGCACAACAAAGCCTGCCTCCACGCCATGTAAGACAGCTTTCACCAAGGGTAGCTTATGGCTCCTCAGAGGGGAGAAGGTTCAGGTTTGGGCTTCTCTGGAGAGGACAGTAACAGAGAAAACAGCTAAACATGCTTTAAACCAATTCATCATCAGTGTTTCTATCTGCAACCAGGTCCCCTTCATTAGCCTGTGAAGGCTTTCCTTGCCCAGATTACAGGGACAACAAAAAGCAGCAACTCTTCCTCCTCAGCGCTGCCAGAAACAGGATGAAAGACAGCAGAAAAGAGAGGAGATAAGTACAGAACAGGGCCAGACCGTGGCAGAGCCCTTCCTCCCAGTTCTACCTAGGTCAGTATACATTTTTGTGAGCTGCACTACGGCCCAGCTGCAGGGAGACAGTGGCCAGGTCGCGCAGGCACCCTTCCGCACGAAAGCCAGCCTGTCCGCATGTGCCTACAGCCAGCACCGGCAGGACAGACACACAGACATTTGGAGCGTGACATCCAACGCCGGCTGGATCAGAAGTCTAAGCGACCTCACCGTTTCGGTCAGATAAGGCTGAACAGCATCAGAAGTGCTCACCACCAACTAGGGCTCAAAGTGCTGCCCTCCGGGGCTTGGAGGGGCCCAACGCCCCAGCTAAACCCCTCCGATCGCTCCAGAGCCCGGATCCCTGCTGGAGGCTGAGCTTGCCTCCTGTCTGCCTCAGCGACCACCTCCCTGCCAGAGGACACGTTTTGGTCAAGCCCAGAGGAGCACTTCTCTTCCCCCACCAGATCTGGGGGTCCCTCCTCCAATGGGCTCACAGAGACCAAGAGGCAACTCCAGCTCCATCAGGCACAGACACCAGTTCTGCGCAGCGCCAGGCGGGAGGAACAGTCCTGCTGTGCTCGCACTGGCTACTCAGCAAGCGCTCCCAGTCTTCAGGGCTTTCCCCTACCCCACAGAAGCTCAGAAAGAGAAGGTTGCAGAAAATTTTAGAAATCTAAACAGAACACTCCACATTTCTACTTGGCCAGTATTTTCTAGCCATCTTAAGCCTAAGAAGCTGGATTTTTGAAGCTGGAAAAAAAAGGGTAATAGTCCTCTTAGCAATAAAACTTCTTCAAATGCCGAATATCCTCTGAACCAGGAAAACTGTCTAAAGACAAGCGGAAAAAGCTTTTTTTGCAGATGCAAACCTCAAATCTCACAGGGTTTGGAGGGAGCAGCAGCTTCACAGACAGTTGTGTCTGAACATATCTATTTCTTGACACTGCCTGTGCTGCTAGCAACACTAATCAAACGTAACAAAGACCAGAGGAAAAGCAGCATGGAGCAATCCTCCCCAGGTCCAGCTGCCCACCTGCCAGTGGATAGGATGCCATGGTCCGAGGCCGACCTCTGGAGGCTCGCTCCCGCATCGTTGTCGGCCACCCCGTCGTTAGGTGATGGGCTTATGCCAACAACAGCAAGCTGAAACGTGACCGGTGCCATCGCCCAGACTACCGTAGGCACGGGTATGCCCTTGCCTCCGGGCAGGCCAGTACTTCTCAAAGCTAGTTGTGGGTCCAGGAGAGGCACGAGGCCCTTGTGCCACCTCCCTCCCCCAGGAAGGGAGAGGAGGCAAAACAAGAGGCAAAAGCAGAAGCTACCTGGCTGTAGCACTTGGTGCACACAGGTTTGCGAGGAGGAATGAGCAGCACGGACTGCTGTATTTGAGATGCAGAGATCTAGGGCAATCCAGACAAGAATGCTCTGTGAGAAAATTAACAGGTCAGAGAAGGGCTGCAAGAGAGGACCCCGACACAGCATTCACAGGGACTCAATCCTGTCCGTGTTCATCAGGGAAATTGCTATCTGCATCCTGGTGGCAGAGCATGCAATCAACATTCAGACAGGTACTGAACACTAGCCGACGCTGCATCCTCCCCCAGCAGCATTTGAAATCACTAATGGTATTCTGTGTCGATGAGTCAGCAGGAGGAATATGGAGAAATTAGCAAGCGGATCAATAGGCTTAACAAGTTGCATCAAATGGTTCCCATTTGCTCTGCAGAAAAGCATCAGCAACTCCCCTGGAGACTGGTCAGCGTGTGGGCAGCGGGACCATGGTGGCAGGACGCTGCAGGAATAAACAGAGGACTCTGAACAATGAAGTGCTGCAAGGCAAACAGAAAACACCTTGCAAACAGGTCTCCAAACCAGGCACATGCAGCACTGGAAGGCAGGAGAAGAGAGCACAGCCCAGCAGTTACCGGCTCTCTACAGACAAGGCTGAAGGAGGAACCTCTGCCTGCAGGGTTCACACTGTCTCCATCAGCACAAGCAGTGCACATCGTTGGTCTCTTCTCCCCAGTAACTAGCGATAGAACGAGAGGAAATGGCCTCAAGTTGTGCCAGGGAAGGTTTAGATTGGATATTAGGAAAAATTTCTTTACTGAGAGAGTGGTCAAGCATTGGAACAGGCTGCCCAGGGAGGTGGTGGAGTCACCATCACTAGAAGTGTTCAAAAAAACCGTGTAGACATGCCACTTCAGGACATGGTTTAGTGGGCATAATGGTGTTGGGTTAACAGTTGGATTTTATGATCTTAAAAGGTCTTTTCCAGTCTTAATGATTCTGTGATCCTGTGATCCTAACTAGGGCTGAACAAGAAATGGTTTTCCCCATGTCACAAAACCTTGAGATTCCCTAAGATCCAAAAAACCCCAAACAAACCACCATCTGCTGGTACTTTTTGCAAAGATACGAAAGTCCACATTAGGACAGCTATGAATCCAGCAATCAGGACATTCACCTAGGACATGGGATAATATCAAACCTCTTGTTTCCAATTCTCACCAAAACTACAGGTGCACTTTGTGCACCCCTGAAGAGAGCAGTGATCACTTACTGCAAAGTTTTGGTTGCTTTCTCCCCTTCCAGAAATCCCAACCCTAACCCTCTCCTGTGGTGATGCCAGAGCTGGAACATTCATGGTATGTCTGGGTTTGGACAGATCAGTATTTTCCAATAAATAAACCCACTGGAAAAAGCCCTCACCAATTCTGGACATTTACTCACTTCATGAAGGTGCTGCTCAAGCCAGACATCAGCCTGCCAGGTTCTTGCATCGAGCCAGTGAGGCTCCATCAGCAACTTAGCACCCAGCTCCCTGTTTGCAGCAGGCTGGCAGCACCCAAACCATCAGTGGCACTTCCCTGCGCTGTAAGTTCATGCAGTCTTTGCGTCGCCCAACATGTGAGTCAACAGCACGAGCAGGATTTTCTGAAGGGGCTGAGCAGGGGAGATGACACCCACGCATGGTGCAGTAAAGACCTGAGGAGTCCCTCTTTCTCACCTCCAAGGGAACGAGATCCCCATGTGCTGCCCTTCGGCTCCTGTGCTGTGAACACACCAAGGGCGTCAGATCAGGTATGCCGAAGCTATTACAAACCCACCACACCAATTCCTTTAAATGGAAAAGCAAGGTGAAAGAGCGAGCCATGCTGATATCCACAGGCAAAGAAGTCAGAAAACCCACTCTGGTTTCATGCCACACCTTTGTGAGCAGGACAATCCTCACAAGCAAGCTCACCACGCTTCCTCAGGACAGACAAACCTCTGAGCGAGGAAGAACATACACACACAGCCCTGCTGCTCACAAGGATGCAGGGCTGCTGCTGCCAGGCAGTGTCCCAAGAGCCCGGCCACATGCAAGCCCTACAGCATGCGATGGAAACAGGCTACACACCCAGCTTCTGTTCTTGAGAACAGCAGTGCTAATTTTTCATCAGTCTTTCCGGCCAATCCAGCAACTACTGCACCCAAACAGACCGCTGCTTATGTCCACCCTGCAAGCAGAGTTCCTGCTGGCCACCCCACAAGCTGTACAATCACAATGGTATTCCCCTGCATGGGACAATTCATGTTGGAAAGTATCTCAGGAGGTCTCCAGTCCAGCCTTCACCGCTCAGCAGGGTCAGCCCAGGTTGCTCATGGTTTTATCTAGTCTGGAGGCATGCTACAACCCTTTGTCTAAGAGTCTTTAACGAGTCCCATCCTCACACCATCCAAATAAGCTGCAGATCCTTTTTTAAAGTCATGAATATTTGTGCAAAAGCCCTAACGCAGGCACATGCACGCAGCCAGGGTATTTTGGGGCAACCCAGTTCTTCACAGAGCTGCATGGATACCCCATTGCTGGGAAACAGGATGGATCTGCACTGCCTGTCCCCCATTCCATGACTTGCAAATGCTCACATGAGCCCACAGAGATCAAACACCACCTCTGTCTACTGAACTGCCTTGAAGGCTTTCATTCCCGCTTGAAGCCCGAAGAAATTCAGCTTAGGTTCAAGCACAAGTAACTGAATATCTGTTGTAACCTCAGAGAAGGAAGCCTGTTCTCAGAGAGTACAACAAGCATTTTGCAGAATCACTTTTAGTTAGCAATGCAACCATGGGTGGTCTGTGAAGGGAAGGAAGCAGCAGGTCTCAACAACTCCAAACATCCTGGTAAGGGCTCCCTGCTGTGAGACACCCAGGAGAAGGCACGGGACCCTCAACATAACCACTCTAGAAACAGAGAGGAAGGAAAAACAAACAGATGAAACGTGCACGACTCCTTGTATGCCCTAAAAGCTGCCACACAGCCTACCTTTAAATACTTTTATCAAGCCTCTTTAAAAAATGGGTCACACACGAGAGAAGACCCTCATCTCTACCCCGCCATATGTGGGTTTGCTTCCTGCTGCCTATGTCCAGTGTTTGACATTTTTTGTAGCATCTTGCAGTGCTGCATCCCCTGACACCGGGCTGGCCGGTGGCTCTGCTGCTCAGCAAAGGCAGAAAATAAGACACTTTTATAATAACGTGTTCCCCTCAAAAAAACCCAAACAAACCAAACCGGGGGGGATACCGGTAACCCGGCCCGGGCGGTTCAGGCACCGGCGGCCTCCACGGGTGCCCGAGCCCCACG